AGCTCAAGTTTATTTACATAAATTTCTAGGAGATATAACCGTGTCTTTCCTCCCTATGTATTTAGATGGCTTCAGGTTAAGCACTCTTTACCAGATGTATAATAATTGTTGTTTGCTCATGTAAATACATTTACCTGCTTTTTTTACAATGAATGGCAAGTAACTGCTAGAGAGATAGTTAGTCATGTTTGTCTGAAATCAGGCAGAAGGCAGGGTAATTTTGCACCTTATAGATTAACTAAATCAGGGTGTATCTACACAAGACACTTACTGTTCAGTTGACTAATTAACTGTGCAGTAAACATCTTAGCGTCTATACATGTGCCCCTATTAGGGCCACACAAAACTAATAAATTCCACAACAGGGTAACATTTGTCAATACAAGAACTATCCAGCTGTAGTTTTTTCTTGCACACCAGTGTATGTGTAGATGCTGATCCAGCTGGCTAGGGCACAAAGGTGCTTCAGTGTGGGGCTTCCTGCCAGATACCCCACACTGAAACACCCTCATGCCCCAGCCAGCCCCTCCACAGCACATCAAGCCTGGTTGGAGCAGCCCTGAGTTGGCAGGCTTACCCCCCTGAGTCTCCTGCCAGCCAGGGATGCTCCAGTCTGGCTCAATGTGCTGCGGTCTGGGTGCACATGTAACCAGCACACCCAGGAGCTTCCCAGGACCACATTGGTAAAGGAGAAAAGCAAATGGGTTATGATTGACTAAGGTGCACTGCATTTCAGTAGGAAGGAAATGGAACATGGTAGCAGTAATGGAGACAGTAGGCTAGAGCTGGCTTAGGTGTGTTTATAAATAGTATTTGTTAGTGCAAACACAATAGGTTTTCAACACTTCTGGAGCTAAGTCTACAGCCTTTTAATCCAAAAGTCATCTAGAGAAAACCTTTGCCCCAAGAACACTCAACCTACATTTTTGATCAATTATTGCCCTGTACTCCCTCTGACTACCTTGCTAGTACATAGCTGGAAGCAGCAAATGTATAGCACCTCATATCTCTTCCACCTGAAGTCCTCCAAGCACTTAAAAACTTCACCATGTCTAAATTTAAAGCTCTTACTCCTCCTGATCTGGAAGGTGGAGCCCTACCTCCAACTTCACTTGTTGGCCAAGCAGCTACCCCATGCTGGCTCAGGGTGCCCTGCCGTCCAAACCCAATAAGCATCTAATATCATCTTTTTATTATTACTCCTCCAAACAGAAAAGAATGACAAAGATTGAGGGGAAATAGTGCACCAAGAACAGGAAAATTACTATGACACTGTACAAGGTTGAGGGTATGATCTTACAGTGTACCCTGTATTCCATGATGACTGCCCCTATGTATGTTTCTACCCAACAATGTGGGGTAACTTACCCTACATTCTTTGGGGAGTTGTAGGACTGTGCAAAGCTTCGGTTCCTGATTCGATTTGGCAGAGATTCAGCCCAATTCGGTGGCCGAATCTCCAAATCTGAATCAAACCACAGGACCCTTTAATCTCTCTGAATTAAATTGGAACCCTCCAAATCGATTCAGAGAGATTTGGAAAGATGCGGCGATTCGGACATAGAGACAGCTTTAAATGTTTTTTCTACATACCTCTAGGTAGCAGGCGGCTCGTGAATGCTGTGATGCTGGGATGGATGGAGTGTCCACAGGAGCATGGGGGGCTCCCCAGCATGCTTGGCAGCAGACCCGGAAGTGAACCAGAAGCATTTCTGGACCACTTCCAGGTCTGCTAGGGAGCATGCTGGGGGCGCCCCCCCTGTGCTCCCCTGGTTCGGTGACTGGTGCCTCTTGGGTCTGGGGGGGAGGGTGCCCGGGGGAGGTACCCAGGGTCCCCCTGTGGCCAATTGCCAAGATGGGATGGGTGCAGGGGGGGCCCCAGCACACTCCCTGGCAGACCAAGAAGTGGACCAGAAGTATTTCCCGTCCACTTCTGGGTTCGCAGCCAAGCATGTAGAGGCCCCCCTGTGCTCCTGTGGGACACCCCATCCACCCCAGCATTGCAGCGTTCGCAAGCCATGCCTGGTATCTCAGGGTATGTAGAAAAAACATTTCAAGCTGCATCTATGTCCAAATCGCTGATTCTTCAGATCTGGATTTGGCTGAATTGAATTGGGAACAGTGATCCAAATTGAATAGGGCCCATTTTGCACACCCCTAAGAGTTAGGTATCTCACATTTTCCACAGAGTAAGAACATGTACATAGGCATTTTACCGTAAAGCAGTTGATATGTTATAACATTCCAAAGGTAAGGTAGATGTGCACTTTTATAAAGAAGCTAAATAAGATAGAGAGAGAGAGAGAGAGAGAGAGAGAGATCACAAGCTTTTGTAGGCTGAAGCTTATTTCAGATGCTGTAAAAGGACCTGTAGAAAGCAGAGTATAAGAAGGACAGAGAAATTAGAATACAAAGACATGGTGGGGAGGAGACAGGGATAGGGGAGAAAGGGGTGGGGGCACTAGTAAGAGACAAGCAAACAAAAATTAAAACCACAGGAAAAAAAGGGTCACAAAAATGAATCCAGGTAATGAAGAATCCATAGTCCATGTTTAAACCATACTTTAACCATACTTAATACAATCCAGTTTGTGGGTGATTTTTTGTTCCACAATTTCCCATTCAAGCTGGTTTTAAATTTTTTTGCCTAAGAACAGTAATCCCAATATCACAGTAGCTTTTCTTGAAGCATGAGTGACTGGTGCCTCCTGAATCTGGGGGGGCACCTGCAGAAGCCGCCGAAGGTGGTGGCCCTGTCGGGGGGGCACCAGCCCTACCGACAGCATCAGTGTCGGCCCCATTGGGGGGGGCACGTGCACCCCCGTGCACCCCCTCCCAGTTGCCTATGTCTTGAAGCAATTTGATTATGTGCTTGTATCCTGAATAAATTCAACACCTATACAAGATAGCTTCCTAGATCTAAGGCATGCGAAAAACAGAAGCACGGGAAAATCCATAAGATTTTTAAAGCATTTCTTATAACAAAAGGGAATATGCCTAGCATGTTATATGGGTCTGAGAATGGAGCACTTTCCGATTTCACATAAAAGCTGTTTGGCTTAGGATCTGTGCCGCTTAAGGGGATTCTACTGTACTGATTTTCACCATGGAAACTTCTCAGATTTTAAAAGTAAAGAGCTTGTGAATGTTTAGATATTGCAACTGTAAGACATAAAATATTCAGAAGGATATCCATCCTCATATAACCTTGCAGTCGCCACTGCATCCACTGTGTTTATGAATAGAACCTGATTTAGTGAAATATTCTTAACTGCTTCATTGGAATATATGACTAGAAATCTGTCAAGGCAAGTTCCCTAAATTCACAATCAATCATTTTCCAAGGAATCTCAATAATTGCTACTTCAAACCCTCTCATGCAATTACTATGCACAATACCAAAAACACTAAGAACTCACTATACTATGCAGTAGGTGAAGCAGGGGAGATAAGGGCACTGCTATTGCCTTGCCAGTGTGATGCCAAGACAGATCTCCCCTGTTGTCAGGGGAAAGGGGGGTTAGCTATCTTTTATATTTTATTTGTAAAATGCAGTTCCGGCCACCTCCAATCTGTTTGTGGGTTGATCCATATTCATCAAATAGTTTCATCTGAAAAAAACCCAACAAAAAAACAGCTGTGGGACTCAGTTCACAAACACTTCTGGAAAAAGAGGAGGTGCTCTCCTCTTAGCCTGGTCACCCATATGTGGAATACCAATGTTCAATTTTTGTTTCTGAATTGAGCCCAGATCTTCTCACTGCCCAAGAAAGTGCTCTATCCATAGTGGTTGGCAATCTTTTTTGGCCAGAGTGCTGAAAAAACCACAATGTCTACCTTGAAAGGTACTGGAGTGCCGACATGCTGGAGCCTGAAGCAGCTGTTTGCAGCCTCCCAGCTGCAGCTGGCCCACAGAGCCCAGTCTGCTTGCAACAGGGCCTGCAGCCTCCCAGCCACCTGCTGGGAACAGCCTGGGCTCCCTGTCTGGCAGCAGCTGCTTAGAGTCCGGGCTGGTGGTGGTGTGCTGAGCAAAATGGCCTTGTGTGCCATGCTCGGCACGCGTGCCAGGGCTTGCTGACCCTTGCACTAAGCTATATGGTGTTCTGGGCTAGGTTGTTTTCAATCTCTCTTGCTGATGCCATTTTACTTGGATAAATAAACATTTATTGGGGCAGGGCCTAGGACCCAAGCAAGTACCCTAAACATCAGGCTGGAGAGGCCTTCCTCTCTCTCTCTCAATGAATATTTCAGTAATGTATACAAAATGGAATAGCTTTAACACATTGGACTGAAAGAGATTTACCTCAAAATGCCCTGGAGTTGAGCCACTCTCCTGATAGGTGAGAGACCTACGTTCACATCCACTTCTGGCCTAGAAGAAGGATTTTAATCAATAGTTTGGTGGGGCAGCTGGGTTCCAGTCCTTGCTCCAGTGAATGTTTAGTTCTTTATACAACGTGAAACAACATCAACAGGATAGGCTGACATTGGCACGGGAGCCAGTCAGGGAGAGAAGGAGATCAAATCTCATTCTCCCACATCCCAGGTAAGAAACCTCAGTCACTCTAGCACCTCATTTCATTTGTTTTTTCTCACAAGTGCATAACAGGACTCGATGATCTTCCAAGGTCCATTCCAGCCCTAATGTCTATGAAATCTATGAAAATTTTGCATTTGGATTCAAACTAAATATTTTGTGTTTAATGATTTGACTGTAATCCAAAAATGAATTCTCAAGCCATTTTTCCATTCAGCTGCCGAACCAAAAAAATTCATTATTCAAAGAACCTTCCTCCTAATACAGCTGCTATTTTAGTTCTTGTCTCCATCTAAAAATAATTGTCCCCGATATCTGACATAAAGCCTCAGAATGTGATGGAGCACTGAAAAAAGAAGATTGCATAATGATTTATTTTATAGGGAGAAATACTTTATTTCAGAGAAGCAGAGGGAGGTGTTCTAATGAAGTGTGTTCAACCTGTCTTACTTTCTTCCTTTAGCCCTTAAGTTTTGAGAGCAAGAAAAGCTATACTTTAAAAGTTGAAGGTGCCAACCCCCACCTGGAAATGCGTTTCCTGAATCTGGGTCCTTTCCGGGACACTACAACTGTACACATCAGTGTGGAGGATGTGGATGAGCCGCCTGTGTTTGAACCCAGCTTTTATTTTGTGGAAGTGCCTGAAGATGTAGAGATTGGAACCACCATACAAATCATTTCTGCCAAGGACCCTGATGTGACCAACAACTCAATCAGGTTTTTCCATTAGTTTTGTCCTTTTTGCGTAATTCAGAGGTCTTTCTACTATGCTTGGTAGGGAAAATCCTCAGCTAAAGGAAACCGAAGACCCTGGTAATTCCACTGAGAATCTGCTGCAGTATTGTGCTGTGAATAATCACCTCTCTCCTCTTCTCTTTCTTCTGTTCTGTTTCAGCGCACATCCTAAGCTGCTGCAAGTTACCTTGAAACCATTCTAAATCTGTGGAATGCTAGGCAGTGTTAAAGTTAGAGCAGTTTCAGAGCAGTCGCTGGGTAAGGCTTAATGCCATCGCTGACCTGCACAACTGTGACTTGCCACTAGAGTGCCTGCAAGCAGGGGTGTGGGGCCAGAAGACAGAACTTTACTCCTCCTTTGGGAGTGGAGTCTTGGGGGTTAAGTGCAAAGACAGCATGGACCCCAGGGAAGCATCCCTCCCTGGGCTCCATGCTCTTACCATGTGCAGCGCTAGGCAGCCCTTTCCTTGCCCCCCACCTCCCACAATCCCAGGAAGTCGGAGGCTGGGGAGGGAAGCCACATACTCCCCCTAAAATCCTCCTGATTAGGGGAGAGCAGCCCAGATATGGAGCAAAGGCATAGCCCTCTAAGGGGAGGGCCACATGTCTGGCCCCTGGTACCCAAAGGGCCCAGGTCAGATCTCCTAGGGTCCTTGGAGTTGCCAGGATGGTGCCATGTGGGCTGGGATAGTACCCACTGGTGGAGGTGTTGGCTTGCGGCCAGTTCCACCCCCTTGGCAGTAGATCTTGGGAGGGTGGAAAGTGTGTCAAGAGTAGAGGGACTAGAAGCTATGCATCCTGGGATGCTGAATGACTACAGATTGATTGTTTTATCTCTGTGGAGCAGACTAACCATACCCTAGCTCTAGCTAAGTACAATGGCTCAAAGATAACCTTACCCAATGGGGCATAACTTTTATATGCTTAGAGGGTACTTAGTACTATTTAACACTCTTTAATGCATAAATGCTCCTATTTTAAGTGCCTTTAGAATAGTTTTAAGGTAACCTATAACACCACCCTTACTTACAACCCCCTCTTTGTCAATGACTCATATACACAAATAAGCTTGGAACAGCTAGAATGGAGACTAATAACATATGCATGAACCACTAAATTATATATTGTGACATTCCTGTTCATGAGCTGAATATTGCCATGAGGAAAATAAATTACATTTGATGCATGGGCACCTCATGTCTAGAACACAAAAAGGAGCCCCAGGATTCTTCTTTGTGGTGCCTAAGTCTGACTTATCAGCAAAGGCTGGAGTGGTGCTGTAGCCATGACAGTGAAAGGGCCATTTTTCTTTGAGGCTATTTTGTGTGTGCATTTTTGAGAATACTATAAGTTCACTGCATGTTAATATGACAGCACTTAACACATTACAAAAATTCTCTACCCTAAGAAACACTCTGTTTATTCCTGTGCTCCTTACCTCTTGGGAAAGCTCAGCTGTTTGGATCGAGGATCTGTGCTAAGAAATACAGTGGTCATTCAAGAAGCTTAGTTACTATAATTTTAAATCCTGCAGGTGTATTTCTACAGGCTTCCAGCAGGGAACCTGAATAGACAGAAAACCCATTCTTCTTAGTATACTATTCTTCCATATAAGTGCTCTCTCTAAAATGTATTCTTTCTTTCTTATGTTATTATATTTCTAACTCCTGCCTATATTACTAGATTTATCTTGCTGCTCTGAACTTCTCATAGCACAGCCTAACATCAGTTGTTCAGTATCTATAAAGACATTTGACTCAATCTGCCTCAGTCTGGCAGTCCTAAACTCAGAAAGTCTTGCCATTCTCATCTACTTCTGGGGTAGTCCAGAACCTGCAGTTGCAAAAATGTATGTATATGTTTGCTTAAAATTATATGTGCAGACACTCAGAGAGTAGACATATTTGTTCATATATACACTATGGTCTTGAGTTTTCCCCAGGGACGTTCAGATAACTCCCATGAGGAAAAAACATTTTAAAAGAGAAATACAAAAACATCGCCAAAGGCAAAAACAAATATATTTCCACTTGGAAGCACTTAAAATACATGTTATATTCTTTCTTTTTCTTTCTCTTACACACACCTTTCTTTCTTTCTTTCTTTCTTTCTTTCTTTCTTTCTTTCTTTCTCATCCTGGACCACATTGTAAATACAAGTAGGAATGGTTAGGGCAAAGAAATCCAGAAAAGAGAGCAAATGAAAATTTGCTGTAATAAATGAAATGCAACAATTACTTCTCGTTTCTCCATTGCTGGATATCCTGTGGGGTCATTTTCATCCAGGCAAAGTGAGTGCAGGATCATCATCATAACAGACTGCACAGGTATATGTGACTTTGCAATGTACAGGACAAGGGAGGAGGGAAAAAAAGTATTTAGTGACACAGTTCAGTAACTGCCTCACCATTTCTTGAGATTTGAAAATAAGTGTTAAGAATCAGGGCACATTTAACAAGTCCTCGCTAAACACATGGGAATTCTCAAATCCACTTATATTCCCAGCTTCTAGCACCTGGACTCCCACAGTTTATGGCTCTGATTGCTGGAAATATAGCATGCTGTGGAGTGACTAAGGAAGATTATCTAAACAGTACAATAGAAGTCAGTATGGAGGACCAGTTATTATTAATGGAGAAAGTGTGCATGGTACTCCACACAAAGCCTCCACCTATGCCTCATGACATCAGTGATTAATGTGGCACCACTAATCACAGGGCCATATTACATTTCAGATACTAGTTGGCCTTAAACTGTCATAGGAATATTCTTTTTATAGCCCTCATACTAGAATGATTATTATAGCAAAATGTAGCGACACTCCAGCATATTTCCTTAATAAATCTAATAACTCAGAAATATCTCTATTCAAGAAGGAGAAAGGAAAAAAAGTCTGTCTTTCTTCTGTTCTCATTTTTCTTGAAAAAAAGTGTGTTTCAAAGACTCATACTTTTACAGTGTTTTCTATCCCCTGCACTGTACATCATATTGCTGTCTCAGTATCAGGCTTACAGCAAGTGTATTGTGTTGATTGTCTTAATCTCACAAAGAAAAACATTTAGAATAATGGGCCTGATTCAGCATTTTTTGCTGTTAGTGGCTGAAATCCATATTAAATCCAAAGGGAGCATTATGGATTACAGCAGCAATGGTGTGAAAGAATCTGAATTGTAATCTGCAATACTGCTCCATTTTCTGTTTCGATAACTTTAGATATAGTTCTTATCTTTATAGTAGAGTAGAGCTAGCTATAGTAGTTAGCTATAGCTACTATAATTTACATTACAGACTAGAGCTGGCTGCTACATCATTTTAGCCGTGTGTATTTCTATCTCCATCCTGAAACACAAGAAAATCCTTTTGTAGTTGACATGAGGTGACATTTTTGTCAGAGAAATTTAATAGGAACTTACACTACTGCATTGGACAAGACCAGTGGCCCAACATTTACAATCTGCAAAAAATTAGGTCAGCATCCTGAACAAGAAAGAAAGAAAGAAACCAAAAAATGAATGTGGTTTGATCTACTGTTTATTTCAGTGTGAAAAGTAAAGCTTCATTATGTTACAGAGAAAGCTCTTGATTTCAAATGGCAAAAAAGTTCTCCCATTTACACAATGTATAATGTATCTGTGGAAATGCAGGTTATTATGGGTGTAAACGGGAGTCAGAAAAGGATATGTTCTGAGCTCAGTTGATGCTCACAGCACTGGAAATGAACTGAGAGGAAACTACGTTGTTGTGGTTGGCTAGATTCATGAAATGAGTGAAGGGCAAGAGTCTTTTGCTGTAGCTTGAAACAGCCTAAGCACAAGTCTCCTCATACTTTTCTTGTGCACTAAGTTCAAACAGCAATGACCTGCTACCAGTCTAAGTAGAGGCAGTCAAAAAGCCCAAGACTGAATTGATTCAGTCTTCACAGGTTAGTTTAAGCTGCATAGGCTGAACTGATAAGCAAGTGAACAGACATTCACTTTGCTTCTGGAAATGCAGCCACATGCCTGCAGTGGCCCAGGCCAGAAGCTGGGGGATGCTAGAGCATGCCTCCCTGCTTGGCTGCAGCAGACAGCTTGGGCCAAAGCTAGCCTGCCCACCCTGCAAGGCGGGGAGGGTGTAAGGAGGTGCAAAGCATCCTGGAATGCTGGAGGACTGCGAGTTAACTTGAAACTAGAGTGGATCTGGGACAGAAGTTTAATAAACCGATTTAACCTAAATCAGTTAAGCGATACTACATCCATCCAGGTTTATCTTAAACTGATTTTGGCCACTTTGAAAGTAGTTTATATGCACTGAACTTCTGATGTGTTACAGATTTGAACCAGTTTCCGATCACTTATATCAGTTTATATGTAACTTCTGTCTGTAGCCCGGGAGTGTTTAGCACTGTTGCCAGCTTAGGTCTGCAGCCCCATATTTGCATGAAACAGTGTTCATAGTAGTCTGCCTGCCTCCTGCAGAGGTGCTCCAAGGAGGAGGAGCATCTTACTTTACTAGAACTATAAGATTAGTTTTACATATCACAGCAAAAGAATTGGAACCAGTTCTGAATTCCTTCCTTACCCAAAATTCTCACAAAATTGTACAAGTTTGGGATGTACATGGAAGGTGGAATGAGACCCTTTTTAGCATTGTATCAAAAAAGATACTGATCCTTGTACATCAGTCTGAGCATCCAGTGTCAGGAATAAATGGATTCCTATGGTACTCTTACCATAGGTAGTTTAATCTAGCTTCACTGTGAGGGGAGTAGGGTGGCTTATGAAATATTTGGAGCAGGGCACTCCTGAAAGGAGGATGCTGGACCACAGGTCTTTTCCAATACCATAGTCTAAATGCCTATGAAATATCTCTGCTAAAAAAGGAAACCTATCACCCCATAATAGTTGCAAAAGAATTTTCTTGTTTTCCAGCATGGAGATAGTAACACTTGTGGATCAAATGTACAAATAGCTGAGTTAAAAAAAACCAAACTAAAATACGTAG